CCGTCCAGTATTGTGCTAGCAAACATATGGCAGTGTAACATCAGGTTTTAGCACTGGCGTTGCTGTCCTTGATAATGGTTAAAACCGTTGTCTATATCTATCAACACCAACCCTGATGTGTTGCAATCGTAAGTATGGACGGAAATAGAATTTTTCCGATTGATTAATTAATTACAGGATCTTCTGTGATGATTACGTAACCAAGTGTAGCAGTCATTTGAATATCTGCGAGCGTTCGTGGAGATCAATTCCTGGAGATGTTCTAGCCAAAGAGTCTACCTGAAGGCTGGTCCTATTTTTGAATCAGATGGCTCGTATGGGATTATCCTTATTGGGTTAATGGTTGAACTTCATATCACTTTTTTATTTTCATATCAACTCATCCGGTGCTTCTGTTGCTTTTATTGCCTTTTGATAGATCTTGCCGACGCCCTTCATAGAAACCAATCTATTGTTCCTCGTCATCTACCGTCGTCAACAAATCCTAGGTTTACGCCGGCGCAGGAATTCGACCAACAGGCAAGTGGAGTAATGACCACTTTAAAGTGGACGAATCCGCTCCCTGCTACTGTTTCTGGGATCCAAGCTATTCCTAGCGGTCTGTCCGCGAACACTGATGTGTCTGTTCCACCTCCAACCCATGAACCAGTGGCTCATCTTCCTCGGGACAAAGAGGACACTGAGGAAGGAAGTCCGGTATTTAGCAGCACCAGCGTGCCCTTCCAAATTGAAAGTAATGTCCCGGTCACCTTGTGGTAATAATCCATTATTATTTCAGAAAATAATTCAGCTTCCAGTCTGACACCACAGCTGATCCACAAGCGGTATGAGCTGTTATCAAGGACAAACACTCTTCACGTTCCTCCTTCCGGTCATCGTACTGCCCGTTTGCCCGTACAGCGCCAGTCCTCTCTGACCTCCGCCCTTCCATGTTAGTTTCCATCCTCAATTTAGCCCGATTGTTGATGATGATTACATATGGTTCTCTGCCTTAGAAGTTGTGCATGAGTGCACGATGTCGAGAAGGTGAACTTTAAATTTGTGATGACTCGTCGAAGTTGTATTGATCAATGCTCCCCATTACCTTGGACTGAAAACTCTAACCTTACTGCGAAAATGCACGATGCTCCTTTTGTGAACGTGGAGGAACAAACTGATTTCCTAAGATCACTGCAGTTGGCAGCTTATCACAATGGGGATCAGTAAACACCAAACGAATTTGCGCGACCGAAGTATAAGTACTGGTACGTCCGTGTGACGTAGCCATCGGCAGCAAAATGGTATTCTTCAGCTGGTATCCGGGTATAGTAACGGTAGTGTCTCAGCTCAGTTCTCAGTCTGAACTCCACATGCATGTGTTCTCGTTAAAAGTACCACCAGAGATGCACTAATTTCATTAAACGCTGAAAACTATGTCAAGAACACATGTGCAGTGTGTCGTACATAAAGTATAAGAGGCGAGAACATCCTCGGAATTCCGACGCCTTCTGTACTCGCCACTGGTAACTGGCATCGGCGGATACTGGATAATTATTGGCTGTTGGGTCCACCTTTTCGGCCAATCAGAGCTCGCCTTGATGGTGGACCGGCAAGCGGCCCGATCTTGTGACGAATAGTTAGCGGTTTAGGCTTCTTGGCTTTAACAGCGCCTAACTGCGAGTAGTGAAGCAGTTTCGGTGAGGGATTCCGCCTGAAACCGGGATAGTGCAGATTCAAGTTTCCCTCGAAATTCCGTGGACTTGTACTGCTTTTTTTAACAAGGTCGAAGCAATTGTAGGCCTTTCACCATAGATGATTGGTGTCTATCAGGATGATATCAGGAACCGAGGTTGAAATTGAGCTGAGGTGGTCTGTTTTTCAGCAGAGAGTGCTTTGTAGCCTTTCTTAGCTTTGACCACAAAACGAGTGGGAGATTTAGGAATGCGGTATTTTTCGTCAAATAGCCAACTTTTACATCTATTTAGTCCACCTTAAACAGGATTCCAGGACTAATCGCTTTTCTGCAATATGCTTTGCGTGTTCGGTTTGCGACAGCTAAATGCTTGAATTTATATCCACTTGTGCCATTTCAAACTTCAGGACAATGGAATTTGATTTCTCCTGTGCCCTAATTAAGCAAGTGCACAAACATTTCTAATGCCATGGTAGTCCAGGACTGGGCATACACTATGAAAGCCAAGGCAACAACTGCCTACTTATTTCATTGGTGACCTCCTCAAGTCCACTGTCATGCAGTTGAGCCATGTCTCAACCGTCCCACCTCAGATCTCTGAAATTTGGTCCCTAACTTTGTAGGTTTGTAGGTGCTGGGTTACACTAGTGCAACGAATGCTGGTTTGTAAACTGAATTCGACTTTTACACAGTGAGTGTTGTTTTGCCTGTTTGGACGTGATGCGCGTACTTATACTCATGATCTTCCCAATATATTCTGCTGCCCTAATCTCAGATGTCAAATTTTCCTTCGGGGGATCCATAATGCGTCTGCGGGGAACGATGGCGGTTGTCAACGATTTAGGTGTCCCCTTGGATTTGGGTAAAAGCCCTGTGAGACATGGCGCATGTAGCCAATTATGGACCGGATTATCTAATTGAGCTTTGTACATCGTTTGTGTTGGGTAGCGCACATAGTGAACCTTACAGGGAGAATGTCCTATCTACAGGGTTTCTGGGATAATCAGAATTTCATCTTCTAAATCTTCACCATTCCTATTTTGTCGTGTTTATTAGGGTTAAGGGTTTATGTCACTGGCACTTCGTGACACCATTCGTGTTTGAGTTTGAAAGGCACAGTTCCACCGTTACAACGCCGTGGTTTTCGAAATCACTAAATGAAACGAAACTTAATGCTGGTTGTTTCCAGTGAGGATGCGGATCCTGCTACAAGGTGACATCTCGATCAGCAAATCACCGTCCGAATTCGTTTCCATGTCTACCAACCAATCACGCGAATACTTCACTGTCTGCGCTTTTATGCGAACATAGGCCGAGGTAGTCCGATAGGCAAGTTCCGTTGTATTGTTCATCAATGCAGATGAACGGTCGGAGCACTGCAAACGAACGACACGAGCGACCAAATTATCAATCAGGGGACGGAGTAATCACGGTCAAGCGCATTCAAGTGACTAATCCGTGGCCCAGTACATTGGCCAACGGGTGATCTGTACACTAATGAAGGCCAAATATATTTCCCCATTTAGGCGATATTTCCTTGGAGAAAAATGCGACTTCGTGCTGATTTCCGGGATTAGGACACCGCCTAAATCCCACATTAATAGCCGAAGCTTCTGAACATTAGTTGTACTCTGAGGCTTACTTGATTTGATCTTTTGTCAGTGAGTCAATATATTTTTATGTTGGTTGTCGATAATTATGTTTTCTGGAGTAATTTTGAAATACTCCTTATTAATTCTCATCTGAATTGCGCAAAGCTGGGTTTTATTTGGTCGATGATTGGTGTCGGCTACCATTTTAACATCATTAGGTTTGGCTGTTTTACTTTTAAATAATTTGGACTTATCTGCTCTTTTCTATGCAGACTCTGACGTCAAGCGGCGTGACCTCATGCTTGACCTTCCGCTGACCTCATACCGTGAGAGCATGGACCCTATTGAACGGATGCTGGATAAACAGCGGGTCAGCTCATCTCGATACAAACCGTTACATACTTCTGCCGCTGGCGACGTCATCGCTACCCGTCAGCTACCGTATCGTGAACCGTCGCGTTTGCATCGAAGTATGACTGCACAAGTAGATTTGGTGCGTGCCGATATGGAACAGTGCCGTCGTGCAATCATACAAATGAAAGCAGACCTGGAGCATTTGCCTGTCGGTTTGAATCACCCGGTTGCTCACACTGGACGTGATTTAGAACTTTTTGATCGACATCCTCTGAAACGTGTTCGGGCTTTCAACGCTGCGGAACCTCGTAGTAGTTCACAGGTAGGTATTGTCTGTTGTCATGATGTCGAGATTTTTGTTGTTCCTCAGATGTACCTTGGAATTTTCCCACTTTTTTCAGCGGCATCGTCGAGCTCTCCTATCTACTAATCTGAGTGCTTTGCGTCTACCCTCGTCAGTGGTTACACATTTCCCACAGACTCCATTGCACCGGCGTCTGACCCCCACGGTAGATATGGCTGACTTTGACCTGTCTGATGCAATTTCCTTCTGGCGTCAGCAATTCAACTCCGATGTGACAAGTCGTGGCATTCGATCTCATTCACTACGGCAACCTGTTCGATGGAACCTCGGTTCGGCAAGTATATCTGAAGGTGCAGGCCATGAACTGGTAGCTCGCAGGGCACACAGTCTTCGCCAAACTCAAAACATTGTGAGTCTCACGCATGTTCTCCTTTTTCACCGTTTTTGGTATCATGTGTCCTCTCCGTGTGGCGATTGATCGGATGCAACTGATCTTCTGGAGCCAACGAGAGCTGGATCTCTTAGACATTGCGCCTCCTTCTAAATAAACCATCCGTTTGATGTGATTGCACTCAAAGGCAATGTATAATACATATAGGCTTGTGCACCATTATGCCCATCACTCTCTCCTCTTGCCCAGCTTCACTCCTATGACTGTGATGACCTCGTTTGGCAATGCATTTTTAAGTCCCAGGACGTTAATCTGCAGTTAATGGGAGATAAGTAGGAATGTACACTCCGTACCTCTTAGCTGTCGCTGAGAGTTGAATATAGTTTGGACACCATCTATCGGTTCGATTTTGATGGAATCTGGAGCATATCGTTGGCATCTCATGTATTCTCCAGGAAGCAACATTATACCTGAGCTTCATTCGCATCAAAATATTTCAAGGACACTGTCCATTTGTCCGTTCGATGTATCAGGTCTGTGAACCAAACACTTCCAAAAAATCATCACTCGCACGTCCATATCCATAAAAGTCCCCACACCTGGTCAGCGTGAGTGCAATCCTATTTGTTTCGATTGCTGCACATTCATTTGAGGACTCCAGACCTGTTCACTCAACAGATATTTAGCAATCCCCTGAGTATTAGTGGCTATGGTAGTTTCAACATTTGGATGAATCCTGTTTCAAATCAGTCACATTTGAACACCCATTATATCCCGACCTCGGGATATGGAGATTGTACAGACGAAGGCAATGTAGCGAATCTTAGGACGACGCTGAGTTTCTGTTAGTCGTGATTTTCCAACCTAAGTCCAGGCACCACAAGTATTCTTGCGATCTACTTGAACTTGGAATTTTTATTGCACAATCAAGCTACTCCGCTCTACCGAAAAACTCAGCTCACGTGACGGATTGAATTTGGACTACATGGTTCACGCTTAACCGAATAGTTCTGTCGATGAATGTGACACCTCTTCATAACAGTACACATACGTATGCACCTAAACCCTTGTGGATGTGTAGGTACAAGGACAAGCGAGTTATGTGAAGCTGGAATGTTGATTGTATCCAATGCCCTAGTGGAAACTCTACCCCGGCCATTGTGTCCACTCCATAAGTTGAACAGGTGGTGCGTCTTATTTCTATGGGTTTGCAGGATTGACGTTGCATAAATGCCTTACAACCTTATGTAGATGGCAACCCAGTAAATAACTGTATCTCTGAGAACTGGTCGCTGGTCAGTGAAAGGTTAGACGGAGGAACTTTCTGTTGGGGAAAATGGTTGATATGATAGACGAATTTAATCATTCTGATGAAGCCTGTTGGGGGCTTTCGAAGAGTCTTCAGCAAACTTGTGAATGGTGCATTACGTCCACACATGTACCGCAATATCTCGAATATCGTGCCGACTGAAACATGTGGCGGCCTGGTGCAGCAAATTCAGCCACTCAAAAACATCATAAACAAGAGATTGAGCTGGGTTTTAGGTGAATCTACCGTCAAAAACAAAATTACTATGCAAATGAGTGTATTTGTCACATTCTATCCCCTTTTTCTCAGGGTGCCCATCTATATCCAATTGGATCTCGTCCTCCACTGCGTCGTCCCGGTTCCGCTTTACGTCTGCAACGACAAGAATCGGCAGATAACGGTTCCGCAACCACACAAACCTATCCCGACTGTCCTATTAGGACGGATGCACAATCTTCGTTTACCGCAGATGCTGTTCCAGCTCCGTCTGAACTTCACTTAGAGGCGTCATCAACCAACAACGACACAGATTTGGCACAGGCTGATAATGTGGATGATGGTAAGCTATTGTTTGGTTGTGTTGTCCATCCTTCATTCATCACAGACTTCAGGAAGGGGAAGGTGCCATCCCATTCACTGGCTGTTGTGCCTCTGTTCATACCTGTGTTGATGCCTGGGTTCATAGCAAAACAACTGGGCTTCCCTGAGTAAAGATCCCACTACTGAGCCACGAACAGCTGTCAAGAGCTATTTTCTCACCACAATAAATTTTATGGGATGTTTACCTATCTACGGTTTGTGAAATTCATAATGCAGGTAAATTTCAGCAAAGGTGAAGTAGTAGGCGACAGCTGTACTGATTGGATTCAAGCTATAACTGTGTTCAAAAGTGCTTCACAGGATCACTATACCTTCACTTTTAAAGAAGTATTTTGAAGTCACCCCGGAATTTATTCCAACATATACTGTAGCTGATTTTAAGAGTCCCTGCAGCAACTTTGTTGTTGCTGCCCATGAAACAATCGGCAGCGAGGTTCGAGCACGGCGTCATCCAGTTTCTTTTCTGTTGTGTGTTGCCGTGGACTACTTGCATTAGCTGTTGAGTGCCATGTTTTTAGTTGTCTTCCGGTGCCACCACGCCTATCTGTGCAGAGCAGTGGTGATTTGAAGAGTTTGTTTGGACAATGCGGAGTTTGGTTTGTGGAGGACACGTCCCAGCTACTCTAGTCCACGCTGCTAGGTCATTTCGGAGAGGTGTAGAAAATTAGTACAGCAGCCTCTCCGAACTGTCGAATTCCAGAAGTACTTCGGAATGACCAGGCCTCACATGATGATCTTAGTGTGGATCGGAAGGTCTCACATACCGAACTTCGTTCCAAGGCTGATTTCCGAGTCTTTCTGTAGAGTGTCGTGAAGCTGCATGCTCTATTTATCGAACCGGACGCCTCTTGCCGTGCTTCACGGTTAAGAAGGATGAAGGGCCCAACTACTTGATAAGGATCTCAGTCAACGCTAATTGGGCTAGACTGAACGTCCATGTTTGTTTTAAAGAATTAGATCCTTTCATAATTCATTTCCGGTCCAACCAACGAAGCGTACTTGCCGACATCTGTCTGTCGTATCTTGACTCAGGACGACGTTCCATCTGGCAGGAAGTATTTTTACACCACGGAAGGCGCTGAGTTTATGCGACGCTGTCCAATCACTTACAACATTGCGAAGCATCGGCGAAGCTGGGCAACCCTACAGAACGGCAGGATTTCAAAACAGACGCATGACCTCTTCTGTACTCGCTTGTGTGCAACACCGTACGCCCAACGGAATCCGAGTCGCTCCCTCAGTTGTGGGAATGCACTGCATGGGTATACACACGCACCCATCTTACACATACTCTTTGATAAATAAGTGACTTCACTTGTCCTTTGCAAATTTGTTGGTGCATGTCTCAGATTTGCCGAAAATGGGCTTATTATCATTGGCAAGCGAGTGTGATCTGACTTCTGATGGGAGCAGGGCAGATAACGGAAACGCAGTAGCAAATCTCACTATCTTTCTGAAGCAGACGAACAAAATGCGTGGGACTAGAGTGGGTCGGTCGGTTACCGTCTTCCAGTGAAACTACCGGGACGAAGGTATGGTTCGGTCTGCTGCCCAATGAATAATCAGGCCCGAGCAGTCGGTGGCACCAGATTGAGTCATCTGAAATGTATCATAAAATATTGTTTTTTTCTCCTGATTGACTACACCATCTGACGTTACATTAACTCAGAGTTAGTTTCACAGGTCCTCATATGCATACAGATATATGAGCGAAGAGTAGAACTTTGCGATTCAGATATTGCACACGCTGTGTACATGGATTGTCTGATATATTCCTTGAAGACTTATACAAGAATCCTTCTGGTTTCCGTTCAACCATTCAGCCATACATAATCTGGCCTACAGAAGGTAATACCATGTGTAAGTGAGCTAATCAGTACAACCGAGTTTTCGGAGGGTGTTAGCTGTATGTTGTGACTACTTACGAGAATCCTCTCACTTTCTGGGCACATCAACTTTGGTTTAAGGTGGGTAAAGAAGTCTCATCTTCGAAATCGAATGAAACGACTCTTCGAGAATGTGGTATCTGTCGGCTATTGTTTCTCAAGCCGAAGACAAGTCTTATTCCTGGACGCTTTTCAGCATGGAGTGGCAATAGTAATTCAAGTACTGGGGCGCCGCTTTTGTGAGTATCACAGCTTATATGAAGCTAGTCCCTCCAGCTTATTCCGATATGGGATGACACTGGAAGAGTTCTGTGCATCGACACTGTTTCGTTCAAAATGTGTTTCGTACCATCAGAACTGATTATCGGATTAGTGAGGTGTTCCACCATATGTATTGAGCGATGTTTTTTGTTCCATCTGCGTACACACGTGCTTTCTTCTTTGTAAAAGGTGGACTTTCGTTTGCAGATAGAGGTTGTATTCTAGTCGTTGTTGTCAAACTCAGTTGCTCAGTTACGGGGGGCGTGCTCTGTATCTTCTTTGCACTCATGGAATGATGCTGTTGCTTAAATAATCTACTCTGAATTTCGGGTGGATATAAATTACTTCCTTGGGCGTCAGTCTTCTTCCTGGAAACATCTTTGGTCTAACGTTCCCTTTAAGTTTAAACACGTGTACGTTTAGCCGCAGTTTCAAAGTGAGCAGTAGGCATATTTCGTGTAACCTGATGAGGAGCTTTCAGACGAGGGTTTTTGCATTCTATTAAAGACTTCCCTTATTAGTTGATTCGTTAATGTTTACCTTTTTTGGAGAACAGAGAGATTGTCTACCTCAGTGGCATGGATACTAGAAAAACATAGATATGACGCGGTGACAATTATTCGTATGTGTTTGGTGAATCCTACAGCAAAGCCATTTCTCCCCATACTTTGGCGGTTGCTGTAATTGACGGCGGTATGCCCATTCATTCAGGGGCATAGAAAGCCCACAGTGGGTGTGAACTGGTTGTCTCAGCAAAACCAATCCATCCCCTGCTTAATCCACTTTTCCTTTTCTTTCAGAGTTGCCCGTTCCCTCAACTTCGCACGCACCAACTCAGGTCGCCATAAGGAATCGTCTTTCACTCGCAAAGCCCGAATCGAGTCAATGTCAAAACCCCTCCATTGTACGGCCGGTCACAAATCTTGATTTAAACGACGTAGATGAAAATGGGAAAACACTATATGAAAGTACTCTTCAGGACCAATCCATCCCTCCCATTAAAACTCGGTACGGTTTGGCGTGTTTTTATATATTGGACATCACTAACGATTTAGCACCACTCTGCCCGTGCCGCAGTGATTAGAGGTTTCAGGTGTGAGGCTCACTGCATGTTCTCTGAGGTGGGGGATGTGACTTCTTTTGCGGAAACAATCAGGAACCTTGTGTGTGCATCAGTGCCGTCGGATACTATTGAAACCATCGTGTGGCTACGTGGAGGGTCAAAACTTCGTTCTGCTTGTCAGCTTGCATCCAGCTGCTGCACTTGGAGACCGACTCAGGTTTATTGGATCATGTCGCCATAAAGAAGCGCGGATTCCTCAGTTCTCAATAACACAGTGGTTAATGTGACAAAGTGTAGCTCGAGAGACTGCACATCCAAGAAGTGGACAAAACTGCCCCGGGTGGAAATTATCCTTACTGCACTAGACGGGATACCTCTAAAGGAAATATTTCGTGTGAGAGAGCTGCCTCACCAAAGTGTCGAATTTCATGCTGTGCATATTTCAATTTCATTTGGATGTCGCAGCATTCGGTTAGGTGTACCACGGATACTCCAAAGAGAGTTGTTACGTTGGCGCACGACTGCACGTTAGGTTCGTTGTGTGTTTCCTGTAATGCACGTCGAGCGATATGAAGAGTCTAGTGACTGTCATTGTACGTTGTGTCATCTTAGAACTTTGGAAGCGGTGAGCATGCAAGTATTTCTATGTGCTCACTACGCATGGTGCGTGGTCACTATGCCTTCTCCCACGTGACCATCACCTTCTGATGCTGCATGTTCGAGTACAGTTTCGCTCTCTCCATCGATTCTTGTGATTTGTACACTACGGTTAACCTGAATCCAAGATGCTTTCACTGAATACAAGAGAGATAGTGGTTTCATATCGAAAGGTAGACATCAGGCATCATCAGACATTTCTGACATCATTTAGAATACGTAACGTTATCGGGGTTGAGGAGCTTAGTGGGATTCTCTGCCATCGCGGAGCTTGCTGACTCTGATATGGACAATCAGAACAATCTACGGTCAGCTCTCATGTGATGGGTAATGATGATGATGATGATGGTGCGAGTTGCGTTGAAAGCATGAACCTAACGCAGTCCACATCGGAGAACTGCATGTTGGAACTCAAAGCCTGCCGACAGAACACATGAAACACTTGACTTTTCCACTTGTTTCAAAAAGTCCGGATGAAATCTGCTTGATACCAAAGTGATTCCATGCGAGTATAATCGTTTGTGCGCATCTAAATCCCCAATGCGAATCAACATTGCATTCATTTTTGTCAACCATATTTCTTCGTACTATGTGTACTGTGGTCATGCGGTAGAATGGTGGAGGTCTAGAGTTAAAGCTCTGCGTCTACTGAACAGGGCATGCTTGTTGCTCCTGTAGGGTGTTCCCTTTTGCAGGGCAGGCCTCACCTTATTTCTATGAGATGTTCCGTATTCTCCAATGTGAAAATCGAAAAAAATCGTTCAGCTGTAGCACCCTTGCGGTGCCTAACTGCCATGCTACCAGAAGGAAGCACGAGGACTGGGATACTGCCAGGTTGCCCAAGCCTAGACAGGGGAAGTCGAGTAGCAGAGGTTGGATTCGAACCACCGACCTGCTTCGCGCTGTATCCACTGAGCCATCTCGCCCCCAACGTAGGCCATGGTTTGCTTCTTGTGAGGTTGTTTTATAACGAATTCATGTATCTACGTACGTACATACACACATATTCGTGTATACCTCGAGTTATTGGCGGTTTTGTCGGGTCAGCACGATTGCTCGGGCTTACTGTCATGTTCGAAGTAGGCAACTGGGCGTGTAAAAGATGAATGAACAAGCAAAATAGGCTGTATCGTTGATTGCCGGGATAACTTGTGAACGGATAATTTTGGCTCTTTGGGGCTTGCTGGCAAATGGACCGAATCAACTGCATTGATGAAAACAGAATATTGACAATTACTTCAAGCTTGCTGGCTGGTATTTGTTGATCGTAACGTCTACTGTTCACTCATAATCTTATCGTTGTTGAATTTTCCGGCTCCTTCGTTTTTCCTGCGTGGACTAACTCATTCGGTCGTGTTTTATAGAAAACCCATTCATATATGAGCTTACCTATACACCGGATAACTTCTAATGTGTTGACTCGAGTAACGTCCTTGATACATCAGCCAGTTATCCTTCGCATTAGGTAGTTTTTCGCACCCTTTCTCATTGATTTTGTGTAGTATTTATTTGATAGACAAGCGTCAGCGGAGTTCTTGCTGTCAGTTTCTTTCCAGATTGTATGATTGAGCAGTTGGGGAAGTAGGCACCTCAGAATGTTTGACAGACCAGCACTAGGCCCATTCCCTCACCCACTCTTCTCCTCTCTCCATCCTCCTTTTAAATGTAATTAGATGCACTTTATGGTTGTACGGCAGTGAAGCGTCAGTGTCAACACTGATGTTGCTGTTTCCGATTATGCTGGTGAACCCAAGTAATTCGACCGCATGGCTGGGCCTGCGAACTTTAAAGTGCTACTTTGGGGCAGATTGTGACCGAATCCAACGCTGTCTTGCAACTGGAATTCATATCAGTCCTCTTAACCTGAAGAACTGGAGTTTCAGGAATGTAATTGTCAACTATGGCATTCTACACGGAACATGTCCGATAGCACTATGTGATCCTCTGGTCACGATGGACATCCCATCATATCCAACGAACCTACTTTTACTTCCATACTGTAGTTGATGATGATGAATGTGTTATTCTATAACGAATGAATATTTCCCACTGTTTTATGTCATTTAACTTAGCTTTTGTTTCATTACAGTACGGGCTTGATCCGGAGACCAGGCATTCGACGCAAGGGTACATCATCTCCAGCACAGTCACATACTGCATCCATTCCAACTTTTCAATTGGAATCACAACCAAAGCCCCCGGAATCGGGACCGAATCTTCCTGTAGATTGTTCGTCTTCCTCCTCTGTGATGTGTCGATCTGCTCAGGTAAAATTTCATCCACTTCACCAACTTTCCACTTTCTGTTTGGTATTTGGTGAATTTTTTGACAATGTCCAACACTATGACAGCTCTCCCTTCGCAAGGGAATTCCCCAAAAGTGGTAAATCACCCTATTTTATGACTCAGCCTGTCGGAGTTGCGCACAACCTCATGCGAAATGTTGTGGTTTACTGGTCTACCACTCCCCAAGGAAAAAGAAGCATTGGAGCCTTCCGTCGGTAGTGGAAAGGCGGTGCTTTGAGGGACCCTGCCTTTAGTAAATATGGGTATATCGTGTGGTCGGAAACTATAGAAAATAGTCTGACGTTGCAGGAATGGCTTTACAAAGACAATTCTGTGTTCCTGGACTGAGTTTAGTGATCGTCACTACAGTGCTACTCATAACCAACTCCGAAGTCTGCATCAGAAGTTACGGTTGTTGCTGCAGTGGGCTGGTTACATTACTTGTGGAATTCCTTTGTCCGTTACCCCTTTTTTGGAAGAGGCTTGGTTGGAATTTCCATACACCTTCAAGTTTTTCTGCCCAGTACAACTGAGGTCGTAATCCAAACCGAACATGGACTAGTGTGAGAAATCTATAAAATCCTTCATAATTATCCTAAATATGACTAAAAGGTAGGTCTGGATGGTTTCGCGGTCGTATTCGCAGCACAAACCGAAATCCACCTGTCCTATCCTGTGCATACCAAAATGGCCCGCAAATGCCTTATCACTTACCTGAATCATTTCTCCTCCAGCATTCAGTACTGTACTCATTAGCTGGCACAGAAATTTGCTACGATAAGCAACCATCGCATGTTGAGTAACGGCGTTGAAATATTACTAAACAGGGGAGGAGTTTTGCTCAATGTTATTCTTTGCAAATTGAGGTCAAACTCCTTTGAGTAGTGAAGATATATTCCAGGGTGACCAGGGTAAACAGGCCTCGAACAGTTTATAAACAAAGCACATATTGACTGGCACTTACAACTAGCACTGTTCAGGATTACCATGTGTTTCTTAAGACATCTGAATTTCCTTGAGTTTTTTTTACAGCTAGTTGTATCCGTGACCTTTGAAGAAATTAAAGTACTTCCCGGAAAAATCCTCAATTCTAGGGAGGCGGGGGTAGCCGCTCCAGTTATTGGAAATCCTATAGAAATCTGGTACGGAGTGCTAGCTGTGGACGGTCGTGGAGAATGGCCTCTCTTCGGGTAGATTACTATGGCTCTAGATTAGTAAATATCTGAAACCGTCACTCTGCACGGTGCGTAACATCACGACACAACTAAAATTCATTTGCTTTGAAAACTGCCTCTTTGTTCAGAGTAGTCCCCCAAAGATATGTTATAATGGACGGCCAACCGATCTTTATCTCCTGCTATGCACCTCCACTCTCTTTTGACCGACTTCCTTATGTCGCTAGTCTACCCGCTTACCACACCAGCTCACAGGTTTTGTACAGAGTCAAGTCCCAATCGACCTGGCAGCCGTTCCCTAATTTCTACATAATGAATTTGTTTTTCTTTGACTTGTTACGACGTTCTGGTTTCCCTATCCTCATTCAGTTATGATTCGAAGAATAACTATTGACAGTTCTTAAAGGATTACTTGATTGGTTAGTGACTGTGCGTAGCGCGTCAGCGTACTTATTGCGTTCGATACGCAAGACAAAGGTATCTACGGCTGACAACAGACCGTCATTAATACCACATCTATGTACCATTTTACGTTCCATTCTGTAAACCAATGTAAATGCAGCATAGTGCGCAGCTAAATGGTGGCGTTTCTTATTCGTTAGGGTTCATTTAAATCGATTCGCTGAGGAGTCTTTGTTGTACTTCCTGTCTGATCTCTGAACTGGTTGGGTACTCTGGAATTGTGTTCACTGGATGAAAGAGAGCAGTTATGAATTCATAGGTATGCTAGTTGGCCAGCGAAATTTACAGATGAGGGTTTCGATATCCATTTCATACCGTTATTTGCTTCCCACATCCCGATGGTGTAACGTGCTTTCATATGTCCTTAGTGTGATCATCTACTCTCAGCTTCCATTTCGTCTATCAACTTCGGTCGAATAGGTTGATTCAAATCTAGACGTTCCAACGGCATCCACGTCGGTTCCTGCTCCTCATGCCTCTACTAATCAGACTGTTGGTGAGTCTCTATCGTACTGGCTCTGTGGACTTCTTTCTTATTTCACTCTTCAGTTAGTGACGCTTTGGAAGCTTGGTTGGTTCTCGAAATGACCGATTAAATGTTAACGTTCAGCTAACTGCGTACACAGCCCTGACATTCATCGTTGGAAGCCTGTTTCCTATCGGAAGAGGGACAGTTGGTCTGTTTCTGCGGTCCACCCTAACATTTATTTCTTCTCTTACCCAGATCATGAGTTATATTCAGGATGCTGTTTGTGTACCAGGGTATCAGCATGTTCTTATGACAAAAGGATCGATAATAGATGATTGCAAGGCGGAACCACAAAAAAAGCAATTAAGTGGAAAAGGTTGTCCGATTTAACGATCTTGGTTTCAGACAGAGATCCAGAGAACGGAATAAATGGATGTTTTATAGGGATGTAGAGACACATAAATTTCAGTCAGTTTACCTGCTTCACGGTGTTATGCAAAGTACGACTTCACTCGTTTCCTATGCTACTCACCCCCTGCCATAATGAAACGTTCGGAGGCCTATTATTAAAAGGAACGGCGAAAAGCACATGGCTAATATAGTCTTAGTCAACTCACCGACACAATGGTTAGGGTGAGTGCCCTTGTTGAATTTTCTCCCACAGGCACAGTCGATACGGTGCCACACATTCTTTGGTGCCACACATCCTTTATCAGTTAAGACTTACTCGTTATTCGCTGTTATAAATTCTACTTTAGTAAGTTCACAGAAGTTCGGTTCGCACATTTATGAGCTTTCCTCTTCCTTATTCGACGTCATCTGAAACCAGTTGACCTAACCACTCCTTCTCCAAGTTGCTGAATGGTTCATATCAGTTAGAGACTAAAAAAGTCGAAACTGAATGAGAAAATGTCATGACTTGGCTTAATTAAGGGTAGAGAAGCTGCTCCGAAAGCTGGTAATACCACGACATAATCCAGGGTGACACGGCGTGTACAGGTGAATTCGTGCATCTAGTTTCCGAAGGAATGATGGTGCGAAAAGCTATGCACGACTGGAGGTGCACAAAAATGGAGTAGCTGGTGATGGTTGCCAGGGCTGCACGGCACACATTGATAGAGTTATTGAGTATGTGATCAAGTTGGATACTACTCCTTCTTGACCCATGAACCGGACTATGTAGATTTGAAAGAAGTGAGGTTCTGGACTAACCATCTTAGGGTCGCGTATGCTAAGGGGATCAGAATTGATGTTGGACTCAAAAGTGGGGGAAGTGTTCGTTCAAGAATTCATTCAGCTTATTAACTTGGAATTGGGGTGACCGTACAAGTCAGTGAGCAAGAGACTGGGAGACGCCCAGTACCATCACAAAAATGTTGGAAACAAACCCATAGCAGGCGGTGCTCAGCCAGAATAGAGAAAGTTACAGACCCTTGCTGTGTCTCTTGTATTTCAGCACGCTATTTAATCGAATGCAATTGTAGGTGGGAATTGCTGAAAAACTGGTATAATAATCACTATTCAACCGCGTTTCTTAATCTTCGAGTCTTGTGCGAAAGCTTTGTTCACAGAACCCACTGTAAGTCATCAATGTTGGTTAAAATCAATTTGGCACTGTTGGGTGCCATGAGTGGGAAAGACCGCGCCAATGAAGGCATACTAAGTAACTTTTGACACTGGTTACTTGGAGTAAGTACGATTTGCAGCACGGACTGAGTTCATTAAATCGATTTTGAGCGAAGAATGACGTCTTGTAACCAAAGTTACTTTGATAAAACCAAAGGTTCAGTACTAACGTAGCACTGCAACTACACTCAGCAAACTAAGTGGTCATTTTGATGGTGGAAGCTAAAGTAACGACACTGATTCAAACGACACGTCTTGGTGGAGGTCTCGCATCATCAGACGTAACTAGTTTAACAATACAATGCAAGCTTGTTTCACTATCGCATCTTTCATAAACTTATTGGATTCATCGAGAATCTTGATCAGTCTGTTCTACAGATTCCCTGTTCTAGATGTGCACAATTGTTAGCTTATGTATAGTAAACCAACTTGGGAGAGGTGATATCAGCCATGGATAGGTTTTTATGGTACATGCTTCCGTATCGAATCCGCTATTCCTGAAAGCACTACATCTGCTTTGCTTGGTATCGATTATCGGCCTTCTCCTGAGAACATCCCCTGTAAATCTGACAGACCGTCTTTCAACGTACACAAATGCACGGCTAACGGCATCTTTCCTCGGCACATCAAGAATAGAGGTATGCTTTGATCTCATTATGATTACCTTAGACGATAATATTACAATAGTGCTCTGTTGGTCAAGCAGTAATTATTGGTCAAAAGGACTATTCCGCATTTGAGGAGCACCATACGGGACCAGGCTTCTTCCGTAACATCCGAATCTCTCCCCCGTGGTTCCGACCGAACCCAGAGATAACGAAAAACAGAACCCGGTAAATGAACAGTCGAACCTCTTTGGGGGAAACATAAATTAAACTATGCTGATCCTCAAACCATGTGAAGATTCCTGTGTCTGCCCTGTTTCCATCCGAGCAGAAAAAACCCATTGAAAGCATGATGCCAACTGATCTATAGAGAGCTTTTGACCTTTGTTAAGGTAGAACTTCAAACCTTTACCACTCACAGTAAATCCGTATTTGCATACAGGGCGCCAACGTTTTTGTTTATTTCTCTACTGGCTTCGTATCAAATTCGTTTTGCCGTAAAATGGATACGTTTTGATTTGGATTATCTTTGAATGGTTACATGGATCCGGATAACCCAATCATGGATGTTTCGTTTCCATTTGGTTCTGTTTTTTTTTCCAACTGTGCACCATGTATGCAAGTACGCTGGTTCTGGTCGGCAAGGAAAGACCAACTTAAAAGGTCGATTTGCGTGTTATAGACTGGAAGATATGAGATTTGATTGATCGATCACATGGGCGCAACTGGTTTCTAAAATGACCCTACCACCAAACGCCCCCAACCGCCTCTTGAGTACGTCTTTAGCTTGCCATCTTACATATGGCATTCATCAAGTGTGAGTCAAGCCGTGGATACTCCCCCCACCGACTAAGACCGTCCATCTGTGGTTTTCCTCAATCCAACCACGATAGGTCAAACAATTTTTCGGTCCTGTGTTGCACATGCCACCTGTGCAATTTATCAAGTAGGTCAAATGACTTTCCGAACACCGTACGACGTAGCACATGACCCAGCGAGTGCCACCTGTGCAATTTATCAAGTAGGTCAAATGACTTTCCGAACACCGTACGACGTATTTCAATGCTGACAGTACTCTGGACGTAAGCAACTATTTTCCGCTCAAGGTGGCAAGGTTGATACATTTATAAGGTAGCACTGTTCGACCTGCGATCTTGGTCGCTACCCATCATCGATAAGCCATTATTACTCTGATGCCGTAAACGGTTCTACTGAAGGAAGCCCAAACGGCTTTCTCCGACTCTAGCACCCGCGTCATCCTTAATCCTTCTAGCGGTTTACCTGCGACAATTATATGGGGTGATGTACTGTCCTATCTTGAGGGACACTTGTGCGTTTTGGTGGCGCGAAACGTATTCTGAAACCGGTGACTTGTTTTGCTCCTTGTGTGCCAGTTTGAATCACAAACCGTGATATCATTTGCTTGCGTAGTGAGGTCTTTCCCCGACCCCTTGAGTAGTAAACCGTTCCTTCCATAGTGTCCACTACCCCCTATGTGTTGCGGACAACCTTGTTGGACGTTACTTTCGGTAGTAAATTCAGAGAAAGATTCTCCATAGATCACTACATTTCACCACAGGGATATTTTGATATAATAGACAGAAGTGGAGTGGAGATTTAGGAAATGCCTTCCCTGGATAAGCGCTGCCACATGGTGGTTGATTGAGTTAAACTGCTTTCAAATGGAGGAAAATTGTTCGTTTGCAGGATTGTCCTTCGATTTTCCGGATAGATGCTTCATAAGTGATTGTTGTCTCTTTTAAAATTCACTACTTCTCTTTCTTTGTAAGTAGAAGACGTAAGTACTATTTCACGTTGTACGATCCAGCTAATGGGAGGACCTTTTATAACTTGTTCCAAGCTTGAACACAAGCAGAGCACGACAGGCTTTCCCGTGCGATGTGAATTCTACAAGATTAGTTTTTATGTCATAACTCGATGAACAAAATCATAACTAAAGTGGTTTTTGGAATTGTTCATTCCTTGATGCCTAGCAAAACCGGTCACTGAAGGTTTTCTTGGTGAACTATATCATTTGGTCAAGAATTTTGGATGTGCTCCATATCACATTCAAGTGATTAGTTTGGAAAGCCGGATACTTACATCTTTCTTTGGACACTTGTTAGATCCTTAACTATGCGCGAAACATCTTTGATTAGGTCTTCCTACTTTGGAATACGAACCATTAATCGCCCTTTCTCAATGTCATCTCCTTGCCATGAAACAGACGGACTGCTGGCGCAGTTGATGGGCGTGCGGAGCCTGGCAGAAGCCGGTCTTACGAGGGAGCAGTGCCTTGCCCAATTACGAGGGTCTGACAATGCTGAGGATTCAGAGAAGTGAGCTTTTGTCTCGTGCTTTGTTTTTTTCTCACAACTGCCTTTTCGCACATTTCAGTTTTTTGCAATGTCATAATTCATGTCTGCGTAACATTTTTCATTTTCGGCACAACTCACGGGGGTTGGTAAGCTGTGCATCAATGTGATGGCGATATCTCTAACAGTGAGGAGCTATGTGCGTCCATGGGTGACGTGGTGAATAACGCGTGTCCTCATTACGCAAGCCGGCAAATCGTGAATAGTCCCTCGTGGTTCTAACCTTTTCCTGATTTCACTGCTTTCTACCCAGTTTGAGCGCCCTTCCTCGAGCACCTCCACATATAATGGACCCTATGTGATGTCCATTAGTTTTCTCTGGCACAGAGCAAATTCATTTAAGGCCACCGAAGAACGTTTCTTCAACTAACCCACGTGGTGGATGACCTCTTCGGAACACCACCATGACGTACGCTTCAGTGGATATAAATATCGTCCACCTTCTTCGTCTTTTACAGGAATGTACTTTTTCGGCTCAGAACTTACACTGTTTCAACAAGAAAGGTGAAAATAGATGTTGACCTCACTGGTCATGGCTGAGTGAGTGGATTTCACCACCTAGCCGTCCCAACTGATTGATACATTCTTGTCATTGACATCATCCTCAACGGTGTAAAATTGAGATAATAAAAGATAATCATTCAGCTGTAACACCCTTTCGGTGCCTAGCTGCCATGCCACTCGAAGGAATTATGTGGGCTGGGATACTGCCAGGTTGCCCAAGCCTAGACATGGGAGGTCGAGAGGCGAAGGGTTAGTAAATTCGCGCTCTAACCACTGAACCATTGAGTGGAGCGTTGAAGCCAGTTTCTAGTGTGAATTAGTGGGTAGCTTGAGAGACAACTTCTTTTCAATAGCAACCACAACCAAATGCATGCTGATACTATGAGTTGAGTTCCTCGTGAGTGTGAAGTTGTTGAGGTTGAATCCCTGAATGTGGTGTCATCTAATCTTAGGTGTAGAGAAAATAGACAACCGATGACATCTTTCGAGCAGGCACATTCGTCACCAGAAGACTCATGATAACATAAGTCAATGGTCAGAACACTCTAGCCCACAGGTTTGGTATCTTGTTGGGCAAATTATGCCACATCTTGGCTACTAAGACCCGTGGTGCATGGGGATAATCAGTCCAAAAGATACCTCAAACACCCGTTCACAGAACCGGAGGTGGACGTACTGTGGCCTTGGGTTCCCTAAGATCACATGACGTATCTTGTCGCCAACAAATTACGAGGTTTATGTGCCGTGATTGCGAACACGCCTGGATTAGACGAATCAATACTAGATGGCGAATGGGCCTGCTTTTGGCACTCCATCTACTTGTGAAGCATAGCAAGAATGGTAAAAAATTACTACCGCTTGAATCGCAGTTATCTGGTACTTAAGAGTATACTTCCTAGCTATTGTGTGTGTATGATTGTGGGACGATAATGTTAGCATACTGGTAAGACGGTGAATACTAGTGCTTGTCGAGCTACCTTGCTTCTAGTTGTTTTTTTGGTACATGCCAATTTCAGCACAACGCTGTTATCCATGATCATAAGGGAATTTTTTTATTTATAATATGCCCTGGATGGGAAATCGTACGTCGCTGCCCAAAGTGAGGATCTACATTTGATATTACCAAATTTGCTTTGCTGATCGCTCATTGTTTAGAACTGAATTAATAAAAATTCTTACAAACTCAGTTTTGTGGTAGTATGTAACGGAAATCGACCAGTTCGAACAAGCTCAATCGCGGCAGTTAGATTCCCTTAATCAAAAAAGCTCGTTCGTGATCAGTGGTCATCCAGTCGATTGTATCGCCTAAGACTAAAGTCAACCATTCAACCAGTGGGACCGATTAGATAAAATTGGAGTCGCAGATTCCCAAAATGATAGTGTTTGCCGTACCACTTTGGAACAGACTGTTTCAACTAAGGAACGGTGTGTGCACTATGCAGACAAACGTACTTGCTACTCTAGAACAGTCAAACCCCCCAGTATTCAATCCTTACAGACTATGAGAAAACGTCCAATTTAGGGAGCATAAATGAAGTAAAGACGAGAACAAGCGTTTGAGGCATATCTTCAATGAACATCTGTTGGATTAAATTACGATTAAACCCGTGTTAAGTAAATCGAATAACCTATAGTGTGTCACCCGTGATTGACCGAATACTGTGAGTATAAGCACACAATGCCTGAATGAACATTGTCATTTCTAAGCTAAAAAAACTCGGTTAGGTGGCTAGCGTACTATTAACCTGGCTAGAGACGGGTGAATTTACCTTATCTCATGTGGTTCAAGCGGTATTTCAGGTACTGAGCTCCGTGCCAGTGGTGAACAACATGGAGGTATCAGACCAATTGGCTTTATAAATCTGTTTTCACCCTGTCGGAAAGATTTGGACCTCTTTTTGCTGCCTGTTTATTGTTGTAATAGTTCGTGTGGATTTCAAGGTTCATTTTTATGGAGTCTAACCGATTATCTGAGACCATGCTGGTGTTATCGGGGTGACCTCAATCATGCCACTATTGACCGCACCATTTAATGCACTTATGAGGACATTCAATTGAGATGGGTCTTGTTGACGCAGATTCAGCTACTCGATGTGTGAACTAATCCTACATTAGATAATCGCCACGACTAATGATTTGTACACTGTGTTTTGGTGGGTATGGGGGGGAGACACCATAATGGACTATCCAGTGAAATGGCCACTTCCCTACGAAAACATTCAATGACCATTATTAATGGAATCGTTCGGACTAACGAACTCTTCTGCATGGTTTAAACTTAAAGATCCTGAGACTGGACATGGCTGTGGCTTTTCTAGCTGACCATAAAGTTTTTGAATGAGTTAACGGTGGGTTTTGCGCAAGTAAGTTCCGCCAAATCTTTCCAATTCGGAATCAACAGTCAAAGCACTCTCACTGATTTCCCTACCGTGCTCGACGTTTACCAACGTGAGGCATTCAGGGAACCAATCCTTTGGATTTTCACAATCTTCCTTTGCTCATTGTGCTTGCAAACGAAGGTACTTTTTGTTTAATACCGATGCGCTTCTCACACTGATTTTAGTGCCGAGTTGGATATTTTGTTTGCTGTGGCTGCAGCGACCGACAAACCCAGGGATTCTCCGAAACCGCCAACCGAAGAACGCAGTGAATCTTTGTGCACATTGGCCCTCTTGTTTGATGCCGATAGGTATGTGTTTAAATAGCCTCAGATATTAGCCTTATTTAATATGTTAGTGTTTCCTTGTCTTTTTTTTACGGTTTCGGTACGTTTCACCTCGTGTCGTGGTAGAACATTTCTTCTTGCCCGACCTTCCTGCAGCTGCCGTCTCCACTTTCCCTCTTCTCGACGCTGTAGTTTTCCCGTTCATGCCATACTCATAGTTTGCATATATATCCTTTGCGAAGAACATTCGGTTCCTGTTATCGCAACCTTTTTTCAGCTTTTGTGATGTTTCGGTTCTCTAAATAAGCGCATTTTAATATCCAACTATCAGTTGGGGAAAAAATCTTCGTGTTGCTTGATAATAATATTGCACTCTGTCTTGGGGTTTATTTTCGGTTTGAATAACCAGGATAGGGGCGAAGTCTTCACTCGCGTTGTGTGGGACAACCAACACAAATTACTCAATGGCAAACAGATGGGATCGTTTGCGCGATCATCAAGTAGCTGCCAAATGTATCTAGTTCCAAAGAAGCCGAACTCAATCATCGATTGCGATTGTACGTTTGCACTACTTCTCTTCCGTAACAGATAGGTTAAAGGAACCTGATGATTTTAACTTTCATCCATAGTTTTGTCCTACAGTGAGGTGTCTTTTCTCCGCATCGGTCTACAGTTTCGAGCAGGTGGTGTTTTCTTTTCATTTCCATGGATGGAATTACAGTGCGTATAACAGATCTGGATACAGCACTTCATGTGTTAGAGCTGCAAATGTGTTTTGAAATCTAACCGAATTTGGGACCCAACCCACCTCACCCGTTCTCCACTGACGCTTTCTCCTTCTATCGTACTGTCAGTGTGATTGGCGAGCAGGTAGCTCCGGGGACAGTTTATCAGGTCCAACTGTGATGTTGCTTGAGAGCTATACCATCACAGTCTAAATGTGTTCATGTTGGTCAATTTTGCCGGGTTGCTTTGAAGTGTATTAATGAGCAACGCATCTGGTATGATAGAAATGATAACACATTGTTTACAGATGTCCCGATCACGGACAACAATACCCCTGCTGACAATAATGCTTGATGGTTGTTATACGACCACAAAGTTTATTCAATTATCTTTGGTGCCATAAAGTAAGGAAACGAAAGAGCGATCGAGGAAGATGACCTGTCCGGACTTACTGCAAGCGCTTAGGGAGACATAAACGGATAGAATTAATACCAATGACGTCGGTCGGCCACTAGATTTCACAGTGACTACACCTTGGAAAGCGGCAGCACTAACGGAACCCATATCTCCTAATTTCTCTGCATCCTTCTGTCCACGTCGCAGTTTGCACCACTGTGAGCGGGACATGGAAAATGAAGATCGTCCGGTAGACGATGTTTCCTTATGCGGGTTATAGATTATGTATCATGCTAGGTCCATCGGGCACATTTCCATCACAGCTTATACAGGTACTGGAGTACGGAAAACTTTCCACGATCTCCATTGTTTCTCAAGGGACAGTTTCTGATACTGCACTTTGTAGGCACAGGGCGTGTGTTGCGAGACTGCTAGCACCATAGTAGAATGTGGTCCTGGTTCGATGGCTACTTGGCTCCTCCACTTGTGCATGTTAAATAAGTAATCTAGTTCCTTCTGTTCATTTGTTGGGAAATCATCGTAGTGATCTCACTCACCACAGCATAATGCCACTTGCACAATCATGGATGGCAATGGTGAACATAGTTGTGTCCCCATATCCCCTCGGTTTTGATGGGATTTGCTACTGTGGTTGTCCTTGGTGTGGTGTTCCATCCATTATAGTATTTCGACGTGCACCGTAGCCTGAAACTGTTTGTAATGGAGACATTAGGCGATCACTGCAGACGTGTTTATAGAGCTGACGCAAAATTTCTGACAATGTAGCGCTAAAATCTTCGTGAAGGGGTTTCTAGCCAAAAACATTCAGTCCTGATGAGTTCATTTTCTAACCAATCAGTACATGCCTTTTTTCCGTAGTCTGTTAGGCACACTTTTGCCCAGCCGAATTGGTGTTTGGTTATTCCGAACGTTTCCCTCCGGAAGGTAGTTTTGTGCATGGAATCCCCACCGCCACTGCCCCATCAAAGTTCGGTCGAAATTCTAGGTCGCAGTACGCGGGGCTAACAGTGTGATTCAGAATACTTTGAGAAATATCCTTCCACTGTGTACACCCTCCAATTGCTGTTCGGTTTTTCAAGGTATGTAGCGTAGGTGAAATTCTGGCGACTTAACAGCGTTGGACAGTTTTATTTGATTTTATACGCCTAAACTCCCTCATCTCCGTCGGACTCACTGCCGAAATGACCTATCAAAAGTAGCATACTGTTTATTTTGAATTTTGCCAACTAATTCATATTTTTTAGCGGGTGACTGCACGGAATAACCCAGTTCCGGAACCAGTTGCTTCATCCTTCGCCTGGGGATCGGATATGCTAGAAATGCTGTCTGCGACTTTTCTCCCATCATTTTTGGAACCCTTATTCGTGATGTCTTTCTCAGAAGAAACCATACCCTCGGCAAGTAGTTTGGGCGCATTTAGAAAGGGAATGTGGTTAGAAGTCTTTACAGGCATCTAGTCTGAGTTCACTAACAATCTTTATCAAACCAACCAGAACGACTCAATTATCTTCAGCCGTCAAAGTTGTTCAGGACGTTGCGGATGTTTTTAATATACTCTTTCTATTTATAGGGCACAACGCCACAGTGTCGTTCATCGCCCACTCTCCAGAACCTCTTCTCCAAACAGATCCACTCCAGTTCGCCGGGAATCCGCTGGTAAGTGCTTCGTGTATAGCACTTCAACGGAACCCACTTTTGTGAGGAATGGTACCCCGTGTCCGACTGTAGAATAATGCTTTTTTTTTTACTGCGTATGCCACTGATGCCCATTTGAATCAACTGTTTTCCAACTGCTGATTGTGAGTGTGAAAAATGGGCCTATAGCTGTCATCCTCTTTTCATCTGTAGCAAAGTACGGAGTCCTTTCATCACTTCACCACCTTGTTTGAGGGAGGATGTTGCACGTTCTTCTGACGAATGAACGTTTCATATCCGCATCCTGATGACATTGTGATGTGGGTCCGACAACTCCTTTTTTTGTCGACTAGCGCGCTTCTTTGTTGATCTTCCGTCACATTTTTCCTGTAGACTGCCGGACCAACTAGATCGCGGCTGGATATTTTTTAGGTGAACCGTTCAATGTGTTCTTCATATCCAGTCGTTACATCTGAGTATTATGCATTGGTTCTGGATCAGTAGTAACGATATGATTATCAAATGCGGGTTATATCGGGTTATACCGCTACTTTCGAAGGCTGTTTTGCAAATGATCACATTGTTTAACGCATAGTAACGCAGCTCGGGAATGTTATGATTCATTGAATACGTGCTCCCCTTAAGAAGAATGGTTCTTACCCGTTTAATATGCAAACGACTCATACATGAGGTATATGTTTACTGGGTGTTGATCTCTGTACACGTCAGTTAACTTGAACACGCAACAAGAACCGGCATACTGAGTTGCCCATGGGCGTCTTCTGGCATCTTCTTGCTCGAGTCAGTGTAATTTACAGCACTCCACAGCGGTGCTCAGCTATACGTAGTCGCACAGAGCACCGCATATTCCATCTTCACAAGCAGTGCATAAACTCGTCGTTGAAAACCCGTTTTATTTCTTGGGATTGGTTGTGCGGAATATTTCTTCGGAGATGTTGACGGGTAAATTCTTCGTGCGTATTTGTCTTGGGACTTTTGAATCACTGTCCTACGCACTTGTTTTTTGTGCCACTCAGACTCCATTCAACCATGGCGGCCTCCTCATCGCAAAATCACTCGTCCACCGTCGGTGCCGAACGCCAAAGTGTATGAATTACAAGTGTTTCCTCGACTCCCATTCGCTATCACTTTGCGTGTTGGACGGCTTCAGCTGGATGCGCTATTCGATCGGTATGGTTTCTTCTCATTTCCAGACTTTATCCTAATCATCTGTGGGATTTTTCACACATTCTGCTGTCGTTCAGTTTTGTATCACAAACCGACGCTGGTAGCATAACTGGGCACTGCTTTTATCGTTCTTACCCGGAACTAGTAAAGCTCAAGTTGAAAATTCTCATTCACCTGAAACCCAGAGTTTGGATGGTGGTTGCCATAGTCCCAGAGCGCTCCCTGTCGTCCCGGAGTATCACCGTCCAAGTCTTTAGGAACTTCATTCGGTTCATCACTGAGAAGCCGTGGTTTGGGTCGCTGGGTTATCCGCTTTCTTTCACTAGGCTGCATTGTATTTTTGATCCCCATTTAACTGTTTCTAATGTTTTTCTAATGTTTTTTAATGCATCCTTATGGAAACGACCCACCTTAACGTCGTGAATATTTTGGAGTGCTAAACATACACCCTTGCTACAAGTAACTCAGTGTCCCTCCTTATATAAGTCAAGCTGGATAAGGGCTAGCGTGAGCTGTACCTTTGATGGTTTTTTTGAGTGGTGCTGGTCACCAGGCCACCGTCTGTATACACTCTGAGTTTCAACTATTCTCACGTGACTTGAAAATTATGGACCGTCATTTGGCGTACTGTCGGCTTTTGAATTGCCCCCCCGTTCACCGTTTGGTTTCAGGGCGTTTAGGCGGATACACACGGGGCTCAGTGCCGACCGTGTGTTGTATTACCCATTATGCGTGGGGTCCATAGGCATAGTTCGATGTGAAGAATTACTGCAGAAACGGATGCCAGTGAGGATACTTCTTGGATTGCTTACGATAGTCTGAACGGACCTACAACCACCTGATCACCGTCCGTTAACTGCATCCGAGCTGCCAATATTTTGATACAGTTATGCTATTCGCCTGCTTGTTAGCAACCCTAATTTCCCTGTGTCCTAATTTCACCGAAGCTGCGAAGAATGTGTTAGAAAACAGAACAAATGACTCCATCAGTGTTTTGCCTGTGTTTGTTGTTCTTCATCATAGGGCTAAAATCAATTTCCACTCACTGATTCTCACCTATTGAGCTTGTATTCTGTGTTTCGTTTCCACGGACCACAACCACGTTCTATTGTGTGCTTTTTCTGTCGGTGATCAGAAGTTGATGTAACCTAACTACAGTACACGGCTCAGAATTGGAACAGTGCACTGAAGTGGTCGAGTTATGAGCAATCTTTAACTCGCTAGTTTGTGCGATATTTTTTGACCCAGCTTCCCGAAAGTAGTCATAGACTTTGAATCCAATCCAAATTTTTCCATGTATATGGTAGCACTACAGAGGACGGGGAGATTAGTGAATGGTAGTTTCGATCGGCTGAAGCGGACATGGGGAGGTGGTTGCCACCAGAACTCCTGCGCTCTGTCGTTCATCTCAGGTACAGTTTCGCCTTACTGGCCATGCTCTGTATAACCGGGCGGTGAAAAGTTAGTGAAACTACTACTGACTGCTACTGCTTAATCTTCATATAAGGGTGTCCTTCCTGCCAGTGAATCAAAAACTTGCGGTACTTTCTTGTATAGATGGACTGTTCATGTTGACGGTTGACCAGTGATACCCTACCGATTTCCATTTGTGGAGAAGTGAAGCCAATCTATGCTGAAAAGCCGGGGAAGCACTGTACAGCTGTTTCATCCTTATTGGGAATCATCAGCAGTGCGCACCTCACGAAACTTCAAAGTGTCTCGAACACTTAACCGTTCGGCCACGAGTGGCTGATCAGCAGTGTGATTAACTCGCACTTGGACAGGATATAGCGCCGCTCATCCTTCACTCACGGGATCCACATCACGCGGTCACACGTGTTGACTGGCTCTTCGAACAACTTCTCAGATAGAAATTTCACTCATTGAGTGAAGTTTATTCTTCCACTGAGTTACTTACATATTGTTGGTAGTTTGAGGAGATTTTGGATTTTTGTGGAGATTTCGTCCCGTAAGTGAAGCCAATCTATGCTAAAAAGCAAAACAAAGGTGAATGGATCATCATGGATTCTCGAAATAGTGTTCCCGAGACTTCAATTCTACGCTCATGACACAAAATAAATAAATGTTGCAGGGGAGGAAAGCTGCTGAAGCTCTAGAGATTTGATCAGAAAAATGGAAACTATCCAGAAGCACACCATGCCAGACATTATACCATACGGAATAACCTACAGCCAGCCATCTTTGTGCCGAAAAGCCTGTGTGACGCGCTGATTTCAAGAAAGATGTGTTGGTTTCTGTTGCAAAGTTACAATGGAAAATGGACTTGCCGATAGTTTCGCCAAATGCACTCAACCCGATCAATCGAACATCGGACCGTCGTGTTGAATGGAACCATTTCAGTCAACACCCTGCGATGTTTTAAGTCGCCTTGTGCAAACATTAGGTAGAACACGACTACGACTTTTCTGAATGCGCTTCTCCTTCTCCTGATACCCACAGTGAGAAAACCATTCTCTTCGTTATCGCGAACTATAGCGCCCCTAGGTCATCACGCTATTGACTTACCGAAGTATATAATGACTGATAACCAATCCGGTCGACTACCTGTGGGTGTATTCACCTTAGTCGCGTAAGACCTGTGGGCTTTCTCGAAAATCGGTTAGTCGATCTACCCTTCGACTGATAAGCAACTATGGGCTTTGGATCAAGATAGGGTGTTTGTATTTATCTCAGGCGGCTTAATAGTTGTGAAATCTCCATAAAACAGTTTAACCTGTTTTCCAGGCATACATACGAACAAGATGATCCGGGATGTAGATGATGGATCGTCATCTATCAGAACCGAAATGCGTACGACCTTACATAATAATTCACGGAGGTTTTGAACTGAACTAGAAATTTACTCTCAGTCGCCTCTGGCCAGTAGTACGGTAACATGAAAACATTTGAGCCGCATCCTTCATTGGTGTCATCTTGTGAAAGGTTTTTTAAAAATTTCTTTGTTGTATTATCCCCTTCCAAGTTAGCGCACTTTGGTATGTTGGCCGACAACCTCTAACTGAATTGCTCTGATATTTCGGTCTGATATACTACCGATAAATTGAATCTATCAAGCTCATGTGACCGTCCACAAGGCATCATCACAATGAGTGCGGTCGCATTAGAGATGTATTGGTTTTACTACCAACTGACTTACCGGTGGATTTTCGTATCCCCCAACTTGATGAGGTCGATGAATTACTATGCCGTCAGTCCCGCATCCAATTCACTGTGTCACGTATTGCGGCGAGATGTTAAGGTTAACAACCCTATTTGTGATCGAACAACGGTGACCTACCGGGTGGCATACGGACTAGGTGGTCGTTATTTCCCTTCTCGTATTTGGTCCGGTTCCTTCCGATTTAATATCGTTCATCAAGTAGGTGTGCAAACCCTAGTTTTTTCATGATTAGGTCCCCGGCCGATAGCGATACGTCTGATGTTTCTCACTGATTTACGAAAACTAACACCCGCATACTGCCACAAACACCTTTATTGATAATAATACGGCGTTGAAGCATCGGTGTTGAACACTGATGTCATGCTGTCGATGATGATGATGATGATGACTATTGATAATAAGGCTGGAGTGTTCATCTTTACCTTGGTTGACTTCAGGTGATCGTGCCGCAATGTCACTTCACCAACCACACTGCACGGCATTAGATTGAGCGATGAAGTTTAACTACACATTTTATTGTTACGACACTGCTGACCTCAAAATGCTTTTGGTCCTCGAGAAGAAACAAACTCGATTTTAAGATAAATTAAGGACGAGGTAACGAGCAAGCAATAGAAAAATCAACTGATTATTTACCAAACCTTTCTGGACTGTTGCATACTCAATCGGTTCCAACCATCCTCCGATTGATTGAATAGAAAATACTTTTTATGCAAACTCATGGAGACGAAGAGTTTCAATGCCACTATAACAGTAAATTGCCTGACGCTACCTGTAAGGTTTCTTCAAGCATGTGCCCATCTACTGCTTTATGTGATGAGCGCAGTCGCGTACCGACCTTCACTGCATACACTGTTAAACTGGTAAGCCAAAAAATCGTAATCGATGAGTATCGAGGGAGTGCTTGCCCTGCAGAGAGAAATTATCCTAGGACCATTTTGATGCATGATGCACGATTACACCTTTGTAACATTCTTTTGAGAGGTTGACGTGAAGTGAATCCTCCACTGCGCAGTACAAGTATGTACTGGGGCATATCGTCCAGAAAATGTGCTAAAGTACTTAGACCGTGTGAGGTAATCAAACGAAGATCGGCATCTTCGGTTTACAGCTAAATAATCTACCTAACAGACTACATTCAGTACTACCTTCCAGTGCAGTTGTTGGTTGATTCAGCTTTGCTGATCAATCGGACCGTCCTGTTGTCGTGACCGTGAACTTCTAAGTCTTTAATACTGTACAGCGCCATCTTTTGTACCCGTTGGCTCTTATCTTTGAACGCAGCCACAATTACTCTGACAGATTGTTAACTGAGAGAACTGGATTCAAGGGTATCTCACCTGTGTGCTTGAGACACTGTGTAAAGCGTATTTGGCTCTTATCTTTGAACGCAGTCTAGATGAGCCACAATTACTCTGACAGATTGTTAATTGAGAGAACTGGATTCAAGGGTATCTCATCTGTGTGCTTGAGACACTGTGTAAAGCGTACGGTATTGCGAATTGCCATTAGGATGCTGCATGAGATGAGGTTCCATGTGAAACTACGGTCGTGAGAACCGTGATGCAGAATTCTCAGTGGGATCACACTGCTAGCAACTTAGGATCCTTTGGCCCAGTCCGACTACGTAGGCTTGAACGCCATTTATTGTTGCGTACGATCTGAAACATTGGAATAGGTGAATGTCTGCTCCTCTACGGTACTTCGCATATAACTGACGTCTTTCAACGCATGAAGGTTCTTGCGAGCTGTTAACATGCATTTCTGCCTTTAGAACTTCCCGTGTCTTCATTAGATATCTGATGCAATATTTCTCTCTTTTTCAGATGGTTGACCTGGTGGGAAGCACTCTTGAGTATCCTGATGTCACTGCTTGTCAGTGTGATGGGTTATCTGCTACTATGTTGCAGCCCGTTTTCCACGGCAAGTGTGGTTATGTTTTGTTTTGCGATTGCGGGCTGTCACTATTCTCTCGTCAAGAGCGTTCAGCCAGATGCCGCATCACCTCAGCATGGTTTCAATCGTGTTATTGTCTACTCGCGAGCCGCATTCTTTTGTTTGATGGCTGCTATATTTGTCTCAACAACCGGCTTCGTGATGGCTCCAGCTCCGTATCCGGCTATTGTTCCGGCATTCAGCAAAGAGCAACCCAGCTCATTGCGACTTGCGTCTTTCCAAACTGGTGAATTGAGCTTGGTGGGGAATGCGCTGTTCTCCTCATCAAGTCCGCTGCTTTTGCCATGGGTTTCCCTGACAGACAAACCTTTGGACTCAGCACATCCAGTTCCGCATTTATCCCTTCAAGGCGACCGATATGAGCAGTCAGCCGATGACATCAAACCAACCGTGACCTCAATAGAGCTGTTCGGTTCACCATGGTCCGCCGCACGACTGGCTGGTTTTGTTCGGTCTCTCATCTCTACCCTATTGCTTATCTACCCTGTTCTGTTTCCCCTTGGTCTCATCCCACAACTGAATACTGCACTGACATACTTGCTGGAGCAAATCGATATTCACATATTTGGTGGCAGTGGTGAGTGCATCAATCCACCTGATTTGACCTGCTTTTCAATTCTCTTTCATTACATATGAGCTCAAAAGTAATTATTCTACAAAAATTACTGTTCTAACCAGGAATCGGTTTTTTTCGCTGGTTAAAGTAATTTAAGCTATAACAACCTGAATCGTGGGTACTTAGTGTACTGTACTGACCAAGGCTTAGGTGGCCATAACTGTGACTCTCCGCCTCGTCAGCCATTCTATTCCGAGCGTTCTAACTACTGGCTATCAGAAGGATGTCATTTCTCGGCACAGTTCACGTTAGCCTACAGGTGGTCATGGAATCGGGTTTTGATTGGCTGGTCAAATGTTAGTATTGCGCCATAGTCCACGATCATGGTCAGATTAACTGGACCGTTTTTGGAGAGAGCTAGCCTTTTCCTCAGAGCTATAGGTCACTTAGTGATGGGAAATTCATTTATTTGCCTCAGATTTCCACCTGGCTTGTCAGTCACTCGAGCCTAAAACATCCAGCGTAGTATGTTGGCACTAGGGTTGTTGACACGTTTCCATCCTGAGTCACATAGACAAAGTAACGGCTGGGCTTCTTTCTGAAAAACCACAATTCTTCATAATCAATCATCATTAACCACAGAAAATTTTCAAGGTTAATCAGCGCTCTGACCGCTTTTACACCCACGAACCCACCTGATTCCAATTAAGGACTCGCCCTTCTACTTTGAGCAAGCAAACAATCAGCCTAGATTCATTTACATCCTCCAACTTGACCCCAGTGACTCTACCCTGTTCAGCCTTGTGTTACTGATCCATACCACTGTCGATTCGGTTATACTATTTGTAGTTTATCTTGATTCAGGTGGGCGCTCCTTTTGTTGAAATCCCAAACGTTTAATGGGCGTTTGAAGTTGTATCAGCTGATTGAATCCTTATGCGCCTCAGCAACATACCGCTCAGTAGATTACACAATCTCCGAAGCTGTTTCAATGCATGAATGCGACCAACGTCTAGACCCAGTTACTAAGCGTTGTGGATGAGTCAATCTGTTATGCGCCAGGTGGTGGTCATTATCACAGTTGAAGCCGATAGCTTCTAGATGATTTTAATGTGTTTGTAGGAGCATGTTTATCAGGGTCACGTGGACCAATATGAATACTTGTTTCGGCATTTCGTGGCGTCGCATAGATGGTTGAAATGACCCGGACACATATGGCGTGATAAGGCTAAAGTCACCAATGTATATCTTTCGACGGCTGTCAGCCTTGTCCTCGCAGATGTTGAATGTAGACGTACATGTACCTGTCATTTGCCAGATGCATCTTCGTTGACGTGTGGTTTACTTTGTGTCTGGCCAATCGGAAGTAATTGGCTAACATCTTGTCATTCTTGCGCCGTCCATGGAATGCAGTAACTACGCCCTTTTCTGTCCTTACAAAAAACCGTACTCAATGACAGCGAGTGCAGGCGTGATGGATCAGTAGCTAGAGCGCGAATTTACTGACCGGAAGGTCCGTGGTTCGAACCCGGCCTCTAAATCTCGACTTCTGTCTAGGCTTTGGCAAGCTAGTAGTATCCCGACCCTCGTGCTTACTTCGTGTGGCATGGCAGCTAGGCACCGGGAGCGTGGTGTAGTTGGGTAGAATGCTGTTGTTAGCAGCACTGAACAAAGCAGTCATTGCTAATGCAGAGGGGGACTTGACACGTGCGTATAGCCATTCGCCTATCCGAACAATAAGTAGTGATGTCAAGGCAGTACAACTTTCTACGTTGGTTCAACTCTTCGTTTTGAGCTCCTAAAATATCTTGCAGTTAACCGAGAAATCCATTATAAGGGGCAATCGGTAATGTTCGATTCAGCAGTGGAGTCTTTGTTCCTAGATTGAGTTTCGAAACGAAACGTAACCGTCCTTAGCTAAAGCCAGTTCGGAGCTATGTTAAATCTCTACCATAATATAGCGATATCATATTATAATGGTATCGTAAGAATAGACCTGACATTTTAACGAGTATAGCTCGTTTCGGAGATTGCCCTCATCTTCATTGTAAAGTCAACACCATGTAGTGCAACAGACACTTTAAGTTGCTTATTGTTCCTCACTGGTATCTCCCTCTCTCAGACGTGTACAGCCTAAAACAGGTTTCAATCATGAATATATGGAATTGATATAGAACACTGCCAAGCGCTAGACCTAAGGCCGTCACCTTGTCGTGGTGGTTGGGCTTCTGTGCTGTAACGATCCTGCGGGATATACTATCTAGAACTCAGCTCCTAAAGGTTTAACTATGCCAGGAAAGGGAACGGGGAGCAACCCGACGAAGAACAGCGATCCCTCTGTGTTGCGAGTGATCGTTATACGAGGCGGTCCGGAGGTAATGTTGTACTGTCTTCTGCGATAGGAGTGTAAAGGCAGTAAGACGTTTCCCCCCAGGCGAAGCAGTTATGCTGCTTTCCCTAGAGGAAGGACGGAGTAGAAAACCGCCCACTCCGGTCGCCCAACGGTTGATGTGATAGCCGTTGCATTGCCGTTGCCTTTAAAACCAAAAAGCCCGGTGCTGCTCAGAAGGCACCTGGTATGCGCAACCACATTAGGAGTGAGATAGTGATGTCTTATTGGCTTCCGGAAGGGTACCCAAAGAAGCCTTAACAACCGCTGCTTAGCAGTTTAAACTTTTGAGTCAGAGGCTAAGGGTAGGGTCCCCGAATAAATCCCAGAATCTTGTGTGTCAGACTTTTGGGTCAAAGTCTCAAGGTAGACCGCCTCAACCAAACACCCTTCTTTATCCTCGGAAACTAGAAAGCATCATTCGTCCTTGCAGCTCTTGGCTCACAGGTCTTCCCCTACATCCCTCCGATGCACTGCCCTACCCAATGTTCCCTGCCCAAACCGTCGCCCAGGAAAAAAAAATAATCAGCGACTAGCCCCAAGCGTTAAACGTCCGTACTCTATGTCGAATTGGGCAACGATTATCTTTAGCTGAAACCGTCCCTTTCCCTCTCTGTCGATGTCTGTTATGTTATGTTTTTTCTGCTAAACACGCATACAAGAGCCATCTACGGCCCCCTTTGCAGAGTTTTATGTCCGTACTCTATGCCAAATAGGGCAACAGATATCTCTTGCCGAGAGGCCTTGCTGGAAATTGTTTTGAGTTTGTATTTTTCCCATTGACACTGTCGGTGTACATGTGCTGTTCGTCTCATACGAGCGTGACAACCCCAACGCTCACTGACGATCTTTTGTGGATCCTCGTTGTGAAAAAGAACAGCCTATTTGTTGTTCGTCTCAATAAAAAGTTACTCGTGTTCGCTGGGTTGTCCACAAACTGAAACGTTTATGTCTTTGTAGCATGTCGATGCAAAATGTCCTCACTATCAAATAAAGTGAGGGTAATCCATAAGATCCGGCCTACACAAATAATTAAGTTGTCCGGTGAAATTCCGTGTACCTAACGTTGTGGGTGAATTCAGACTCCGGTAATCTCTCCTTCATTTGCTGTCATTATTTGTAGGCTCCGTTGGCCTGTTCTCCGCTTGTTTCTCGCTTATTCGTAACGCAGTGGCTTTGGCAATCGGCTGGTGGCTTTGCTTGTTCGCAGTGAAAGTGAGTTGCCCTCAGTTTGCTTCCTAGTTTGGCGTGAGAATACCTTTATTACATAGCTGGCCTTGCGTAACCTGTGCGTGTGAACGGCACTAGAATTTTAGTCCGGAAGCGTTCACTAAACTGGACATTGGCTTATTGGTGGATATCTCGGGGCTACCGAAAGCTTCATACACGTGAACTATTGAAGCACCAATCGCTAATCAATTTTCTATGTCGGAATACGATTTACTCCGCCAGGGTGAATAGCAATATTGATTGTGATTCGGGTGATTATTGATGGCACAGCTTCCAGATCACCTCTCGTTTTGTATTTGAGCAAATACAGTTTTCCACTTCTCAGGCTGATTCCGATAAGACCATATACGTGGATGTATACCAATGAGAAGTTCATAAAAATCTCGACCTTGGTTGATTGACATCTGCGTTGACATTCACTAAATTCATTCGAACGTTTAACAACAGTAGCGTGTTTTTGCTTATATGGTGCAATTTCTTGTATTAGTTGGTCCCCATAGAAATTTTCGCATTGTTTCTCTTTATTCTCACTTGGGTTGTGCGCAAAACTACGTACATTGCACCTTTTGTAACATTTTGACGGTGAAACTAATTTCCTACCTTTGTTCAGCTCTTGACTAGTTCATAGTATAAAGGCGTCCATAGTTCTACTGCTTAACTCAAGGAGACCATGTACTTCATCTTCCAAAGAAGCCAGTGTCTTCGTTCTTTCTTCTTTCGGACCAGGTATCTTTCTTGAACGTTTGATGTAGTTGAAGTCCAGTGTGTTGAATGTGACTTTCTTGCTGGGGATTTCACCACACACTTGTACGCCCGATTTGAATTTATCGTAGACGTACTCTTCCGTGAGTAACATTCGTTTCACTTTGTGTTTCAGACCGAGGACCCGCGTCATCTGTGGTTTTCTGTATTTTGGGCCATCTACCTGCCACTGTGCTTTCTTCAAAGTCGTCTCCCGTCGAATCTGCGACTATATGCCGCACTGTTCCCGTGCTCGGATTTCAACTGGAGATGGCAAACTCCAACTTGGGACTGGATTATTCGACTGTCTCGTTTCTCTTGCTTGGATAAACTTCACTCAAAAGCCGACAACGTTGGGGCGAAAAGACGTTATTCTTGGTTCAAAGGAGACAAAGGTCGTCGGAAGCGGGAACCACGTGTCGTGTGGTGGCGTAGTTGGTTACCGTTTATCTCGGATATGGGTAAAAAATCCTCTTCGCAGATTAAATCTAGCGAATCGGATATGGCCGATCGACTTCTGAGGTCACCCACTGCTAGGCGTCGACACTTAGAAAACATCAGTGCCCTCCGCTTGCAAAGAAGGGTCAACTCACAATCTATAAGGGGAGCAGACCGCCGGGGGCTGATTTTGCCAGGTCAGTGCCATTTCTCTTGTCTGCTGTTGCGCCCGGTATGCTACGGAGAGTAAGATAGGTTACATATATATGTA